GTTGGACTGGATGGCCCTTGTGTCCAACTCTACAATTCTATGATTCTAGGAAAAGCAGAGTTGCATATTTGGTGCATACTGCACATGTGCATGTGAATTTGTGGATGATGCACATCCATTTGCCATTAGTGAAATTGGTCATAATACTCTTTTTATTGTGCATTCAACATAAGGGATGCATTGGACAATCAACACATAACTTTGGATGTGCTGATTCACAATAGGCAAACCTGATAGTAGTATATCAACCTGTATGTATCTTCTCTATTCAAGAATCTGCTTGTATGGGTTTCAGGTGGGGTCTAACCCAGGAAAACGTATAATCATAGATCTGCAGGGGTATTGTTACGCTTGCTGCAGGAAATGCAGAGGTAAAACGCCTCCAACAAAAGCCCATCCAGTCTTTACCAGGAGACTTCTATAGAAAAGTTACCCTTTTACCCAGGAGTGGGGGAGGTGTGGTCCTTTAGATATTGTTAGAATGCAAACCCCCCTCCCCCCAGTCATAATCAGTGGTGAAGAATGATGGGAGATTCAGCCTAATAGCATTTGGAGAAACAGATATTTCCCATTTCTGCCCTAGGTAATTGCCTGCATTATCAAACTGCTTATATCTTCTAGACACTTTTCCTAAAAGTCTATTATAATGTATCCTTCTATAATTTAGGTTGGTTCCACAGAACTGCCTGTTGTTTTGCTGCAATAGATTTTAATGTCTCACTATAGAAGGCATTAGATTTGGTAACATCAAACTTGTTTTGACATGTAGTAGCTAATGTTTAGAATTTAGTGTAGAGATGTCCTGAATCTTCCTCAGAAACAGTATCTGTCTTAGAATTATTTAGACTTCTTTTCCTCTTTGGGTGGTTTGTGTTTTATCAAATTGTGTTTTATAAAACTATAGTCTATAGCTGAAATGTAAAACTGGGATTCTAGCTACACCAGTTCCCAAGTACTTCTGTTTAATAATCTATATTTAAACTACAGAAACAGTACTAAGCATTCATTAAGCATTACTAGTTCCACTTATTTCAAAACAGCAAAATGCACAAAATACATTAAAGGGATGTAAAAATTATGGTTGGATATTTCTGCCCAATATAAATTCAATAAGGAATCCATGCTTATAATTATGTTACTCCCAATTCTTTTCAGGAGGTGAAATGTAGAGATATTTCCTTTTTGCACACTGTCACTGGTAACATTGGTAGAGTTAATGATTCTGCTTGTATCTTGAAAGATTTCTATTGCCTCTCTCTTCTGCTCTCTTCTGGAAAGCAATCAATACATGACAGGATTATGTTTGATACAGGATTTAGAAGACTCCAGTTATGTTATGCTTTTATGCTTCACAACATGACCCCCATTGCTCTGTGCTCTCAAAAAACATAACTTGATGTATGTTCCAGAAAAGCAAGTTTAAATCACACAGCTTTCTTAAAGATATAAATGGGGCACAAAAAGAAACTAAAATGAAGGGTGGCATAACCCATTGTCCTTCAACAAAATGCACAGAAGTACAAGAGCTATAAATGAAAGTCTTATTCTGGACACCCATCTTGAGTGATGGAGTTTATCTTTTCCTGGTGATGGGAAAAAGAAACATGTCATCAATGGATGCTTCTAGCACCCACCATTTCACAGAGTCTGAAAAGTTACTTTCAAGAATAATGAATTTAATAGCACTCATTAAGAAGAGTGTCCATAACAATCACTGAATATCATGGATAGATCCAGCATCTTCTTATATTCATTCTTCTTAAAAGTATTTTTTTAAAATTTAAATTTAAAATTTAAAAGT